TCCACCGCCTTTCCCCCCCTCGTCCTCCCCTCCCTCGACCCCTCCCTCCTCCAGACCCTGCTTGCTTACCTCGGAGCCATCGACAAGGCCGCGCGGGGCGTCCCAGCCCCCGCCCGGGCCCTGCCCAGTGCCCGTCTCAGTCCCGACGAGCGCAAGGCGGCTCGTCAAGCCGCCAAGCTCAAGCAAAGGGCTGCGGCAAGGGCGGTCCGTCAGGCCTCACGGCGCGCCCGGCATGCGGCTCAGGCGGTGACGCAAGCCGCCGAGGAGGCGGGCTACCCCTTCCCTCCCTCCCTGCAGCTGCGGGACTATCCAGCGTTCCTCACGACCGCCATGGCTGCTGCGAATGCGCTCGCCGCTTCCGCAGCAGGGCGAGGCGGAGAGAGAAAGAAGCAGGCGGAGGCAGGGGCGCAGGAGGGGATACAGGAAATTTCCTCCCTCCCGCCCAGCTTCCCTCCCTTCCCCACGAACTTCGACCCTGTTGCTTACACCTCCAAAATGGCAGCCGTCGTGGTCGAGGTCGGTGGGCACGGGGGGGAGAGAGGAGGCGGCATGGGCTTGGCCAGTGCCTTGCGAGGACTGGCTTCCATAGACGCTGCGGCCAGCGCCAAGACGCTCAATCGGAAGGCCGGAGAGCAGGAGGGAGGGAGGAATGGGGGAGAGAGAGGGAGGCAAGCTGGGAGGGAAGACGAGGACGGCGGAGGTGCGAGGGCGGGGTCGAGAAAGAGGAACAAGCTGGATTTCTCACCGATGGGCGATTCGATGCGGGTCCGGGTCCGGGTGCGAAAGCGTCTTGCTACGCCTTCGTGGACCTCTCCGCTAATGATGGTCCGCCTCCGTCGTCAAATGGGAGGAGAGGGGGGAAAGGAGGGCGGTAGAGGCGACGGGGGGAGGTGGGAGTGCCTGGCCCCTGCCCCCGAGGAAGAAGAGGAGGCGGCGAGGAAGCGGAAGTGGTTTGGTCCGAGCTTGGTGCTCCCGGAGCGCGCTCTCTACGCATTCGAGATGGTCACGCCCTCAGAGATGGCAGCCGCCGGCCTGGGGGTGTTGCCGGTCGTGCCCGAAGGAAAAGAAGGGAAGGACGGGGCCGGGGCGCCTGGCGGAGGAACGGGGCCAGACTGGGGGGCAAAGGCGGTTCAGATCAAGGAAAGGACGCCAGCGACGGGCTTCTCGTCCGGAGCTCGTTCGCCCGTGAAGGGTCTCATTGGCGAGGGGGTAGAAAGCAAAGGACACCTCCCTCCCTCCCTTGCGGCTGGCATCGGCAAGGCGGGGAATTTCACAGCCCCCGCCCAATCCTCCCGAAAGAGGAAGCATCCATCGGCGGCCGACGGCAAAGGTCTTGGGACGGCCTCCTCCTCCACCTCCAAGGCGGCAGGGCCTGGTCCCCCGCTTGCCTCGCGCCCGCACTCTGCACTTCCTCTGCCAGCCACGGCGGCCGACCTGAAGGCGGAGCCTGGAGAGACGGCCAACTGCGGGCCTGGGCACGTGAACGTTGAGGTCTGCTGCATATGCCAAGAGGAGACAGAAGAGGAGGAAGCGCCCGGGCGGGAAGGGGTGGGAGTGGGTAGCGCCTTGGCGAAGGAGGGGTCCCGAGTAGAAAGTGGGAGGAAGAAAAAAGGGCGAGCGCCAAATGCGCTGCTCCTCTGCACTCACTGCCCCCGGGCGTACCACTCCCGATGCCTGCACCTCAAGCACTTGCCCCCCGACCCGGCCATCTGGCTTTGCGCCGAGTGTCGACTACCGGAAGACGAGCCGACGCGGGCCCTGGTGGAGGAGCTCGGACTAGAAGCGACGCCGGAGCGGGATGCCAAGAAGATTTTGCAGTTTCTGCTCAAACACGAGCTTTCAGGGGCTTTCTGCGAGCCTGTGGAAGTGGAGAAAGTGCCAGACTACGCCGACTACGTGCGAGAGGCCATGGACCTCCAGACGATTTGGGACAGATATTTCGGGAAAGGAGGGAAGGCGGTGGCAGCGGCGGAAACGGCAGGAACAGAAGGGGACACCGTGAGAAGAAGGAAGAAGACTCGGGATCCTGGTGGCGCAGGTGTGACAGGCGGCAGCCGAACCGAAGAATGCGGCGAAAGCATGGACGAAAGCAAAGCGAGGAAGCAGGAGGGTGGACTGGACGGTGACGGTAGTGATGGAGGGGTAAGGGTAGCAGGATTTCCCCTCGTGGACTTTGTCTGCGACGTCCGGCGCGTGTGGTTCAACTGCGGAATGTACAACGGTGTGGGGAGCGTGTACTGGGCAATTGGAGAGCTGCTATCTCGTTGCTTTGAAAGAAATGTTGCTCAAAGGCTGATGAGATATCTTAGTGAAGGGGAGAAGAGAAGATTGGAAGTTCGAACTCTGGAGATGCGAAGGCAGGGCGTACAAGATCTGCAAACACTCGAGGCGGCCGGACGCATTCCAGAGGACTACAGAAATGGGATGGGGCTCCTTGAGAAGACGAACAGAGGGGCAAGCTTGGAAGGCGGGGAGGAGGGAGAAAAGAAAGGTGGCCTGTATGAAGGGACAAAGAGCGGGACGCAGAGAAGCCAGAAGGCAAGGGCAGAGAAAGGGGAGGGCTCAAACGGTAAAAAGGGGAAGGTGGAAGACATTGAGCTACAACATCAGCGCGATTCACCGTCTTTTGTGGCGAAACAGGCAAGGCATGGTGACTGGAGCGAATCGAGGGCCAAAAAACGAAGCGTCCGCACCGCGGACACGAGGGGTCCCAAGCAGAGAGGAAAGTAAAATTGATCAAAGATGTAGAAAGTACGAATAAAAATACCACGGGAATCTTAAGTCCTTCTTTCAATTTCTCTCACATTTACGTCTCTTCGTGCCATCCCATTCAAGAGGAATAAACCGAGAGGAGCAAATGAAGGGAGCCTTCTTCAGAGGAGGCGTGAGATGGGCCCTGCCGGAAAGATGTTCCCGAGCTTTTCCAGATCAAGGCGAAAAATTTTACGATCCTAAAACAGTCCCAACACAACGGACCGGCACAATAAAAGCTTGGCGAAGGTCCTTATAGAAACTGTTGAAGACTTGCAAATGCGAGTATACATTGCAATCGTGAGCTTTGCCCCAGGGAAAGGACGTAGCTTTTATTTAGGCGGGTCCGCGGGATGTGGACGTGGCTGTGTTGAAGCTGCTGCACCGCCATCCGTCGCTTTTTTCCTCGAGACTTTTCCTGGCACTTCCCCCAGATAGAATCCACGCATCGAGGCAACTCTGCAAGTGCTTGTGTCGTGATACCTTTATAAAAAGCTGATTATTTGCAGCATGCTATCAGTGCTTGAGCAGAGATAACGATCGGAACGAGAGATAATGTGCGCACCCGCCGCTTTGCCGCTTTGTGTCTTCACTTGTACTTCATCTCAGGCAGTAATAGATCATCCCGACGTCGTCGTCGTACTTTGTCTCCCCGGACGATCTCATTGCATTGTCTGGAATCCGGTCCATTACGGCACAAAAAAAGGTAGACACGCGCAAGTGCATTCTTTGAGAAAGTAACCACCTGCATCTCCACTGTATGGACGTTTTAAAGGTGTAGTCATAAGTCTACACAACTTTGCTACCTATCAAGGTTTTCCTAGGTATACAATTCCAAACCAGGCGTCTTGCAATTATTTATGCCCTCACATGCGATTGCCTTGTAGTAGATTTAGAAGGAGTTGGTGCAGAGTCTAATAATTACCCCATAGGCAGCCTCGGGGACGGCGCTCTGTTTTGTCATGCTTATTCTCCTCGACGCTTATCGTGAGTTCTTTTTTTTGGGACACATTACTCTTACAGTGGAACAGCTTTTCGAAGGCCGACCATCTTAACCCTTCCATTATTTGCTGCATCAACATGTTGCGGGCCTTCTTACTCGCTGGCTCGACGGCCTTAACGGTCGCACAGCTCCGTGGGGTCACGGAAACAACGTCTTCCTTACCTCTGAACAGGCGGCTTCCACAGGCAGACCCCAAGGACGCCTTCCCTGAGGGCCCCGACGTGACGTGCTGGGACTACACGATCCCAGGAGAACCCGGAGGGGAGATGACGGCGGCGGAGGTCTGGTCGAGCAAAGACACGGCCTTCCCCCCCGGCTTCGTGTGGGGTGCGGCCACGGCGGCCTACCAAATCGAAGGAGCAGTAGCCCAGGACGGCCGACAGCCCTCCATGTGGGACACCTTCGTTCAAATTCCGGGGAACATCGCCAACGGCGACACCGGGGACGTGGCGTGCGACCATTACAACCGGTACAAAGAGGACGTGCAGCTGATGAAGGACATGGGCTTGCAGTCGTATCGGTACTCGATCTCCTGGTCCCGCGTCTTGCCAGAAGGTCGGGGCGAGGTCAACGCGAAGGGTTTGGAGTTCTACAAGGACCTGACGGACGAGCTCCTCGCCAACGGGATCACGCCCGCCGTCACGCTTTACCACTGGGACTTGCCGGAGGCGCTGTCGAAGCAGGGCGGGTGGCTGAACGAAAGCACCGTTGAGGCATTCGCGGAGTTCTCAGACGTGATGTTTGATGCCTTGGGGGACAAGGTCAAGCTCTGGTTCACGCTTAATGAGCCTTGGACCACCTCCATCGCCGGCTATGGCCAAGGGCAGCACGCGCCCGGTCTGAAGGACATGGCGGAGAACCCGTACCTGTCTGGGCACAACCAGCTATTGGGTCACGCCGCTGCTGTCAAGGTTTATCGGGAGAAGTACGCAGCGACTCAAGGCGGAAAGATCGGCTTGGTCCTGTCCACGGAATGGAAGGAGCCTCTCTGCCGCAGCCAGGGCGACAAGGAGGCAGCGGAGCGGTCCTTGATCTGGTACCTGGCCTGGTTCGCAGACCCCATCTACAAGGGCGACTACCCAGAGGCGATGAAAGAGCGAGTGGGGGACCGGCTGCCTGTGTTCACAGAGGCGCAGAAGGCGGACTTGAAGGGGTCCTCCGACTTCTTCGGCATCAACCACTACGCGACCAACCTACTCCAGGACCCGACAGAGAAGATAGGCGCAGGGAACTATTTTGCGGACCTGAACGGGTGGATCATGATGGACCCTCGCTGGCCCATGGGCGACGCCTCCTGGCTCTCGGTCGTCCCCTGGGGCATGCGGCGCTTGTTGCGCTGGATCAAGGAGCGCTACGATGACCCCGAGATTTACGTGACGGAGAACGGACTCTCGGTGCCTGGCGAGTCAGAGATGAAGCTGGCAGATGCTTTGAATGATACAGAGCGTATCGACTACTTGAATGGGTGCGTGAAGGGCAGGAGCGTGGGGTACTTTGTCTTGCCCTCTTGGTCACTCTCTTCGCACGCTTGAATCAACGTCAGCCTCACAAGCTCTCATGCCTTTTTCATCGCCGCTGATTTGCGGTTTCTCCTCTTGAATCTTTATTTGTGTTCTTTCCCCGTTTGCTCCCATACTTTTCAGGTACGTGGCCGAAATCTGGAAAGCCATCCATTTTGACAAGGTGAATGTGGCAGGCTACTACTACTGGTCGCTGATGGACAACTTTGAGGTATGAGGAGAGGAAGAGAACAGGAAGATTGCATCTGGCTATCACATTGCTAAATTTGACGACACAGTTACCTGTCCTTACACGAGGGAGTATTGGACACTCATTGGCATGGAAACGCTCATCGTCATACTTTATTTTTACCTACAGTGGGCGGACGGGTTCGATGTTCGCTTTGGGCTCATACACATAGACTACGATAATGATCAGAAACGTACACCCAAGAAGTCAGCTGAGGTGAGAGATTGGGGAGGGAAAGGGTGAGCAAGAGAGGGGTTCTACGACTGTCGCCGGATCTATTTTTAGGTACAGGAGTCAGGAAAGGAGATACTATGTCAAAACTAGCCATGGCTCGCATGCGGCTTTCTCGTCATCTCACGTGACACGTATAAATATCTCTTGCGTCAGGTCTACAAAAACATGATTGCCAAATACGGGGGCGCGGCAGCAACTGCCACGGCAGCGAAGCCTGTAGAGTCTGTTGCAGGTTTGAGGGATGACAGTCTGTAGAGCATGAGAAGGGATGTGTAGGAGTACTTCGACCGTACAAGAATCTTACCACTGGGATGAAATAAAGGGATACGATTAGCGAAGCACACAGTCGGGTGCGCTTTGATGTGTTGTTGTCAAGATAGTAAATGTACGCGACGATCATGGAAGCCAAATGGGATCATAATATCAGTTATTACTGGTGTTGGTACCCTGCTTGTATGTATCTTACTCTACAGCAGTAGGCTGATATTTTTATAGGTTTTTATTGTGTGGATCACCGTTACGGGTCACGTGTGCGGAGAGACACGAACCATGGAATTGAATTGGGCTGTGTGCACATGTGAAGCTTTTGGGAAGCATTGTGCACCGATATTAAAATAATTGGTGTATACTGAAATTAAAAAGATGGTCGAAAAAGTGCAGTGGGCATATTGAATGTATGCCCGATGTGGGACGAAGAAGGGCGTAGTAGCTTTGAATGCAGATTACCAGCACTTCGGCGCTGAATGGGTGGTGCCTTGCGGAAGCAGAAGCGAAAATTGAATTGAATTGATCCAAGTAAATCATAATTGATTACTTTTGGGACATCTGTGTACAAGGTATGCAAGATTTCTTTCGGCAAGTATTGCAAATTTATAATGTTTTCCGCTGCACGTTGTGAAAGGTGGTGGGGGTGGGGAGGTTCGAGAGGTTGAAGTTGAAGGGACAGTCATAGCGCCTGCTTGCCTAGGACGAATATTCGTATAACTAGACCCACCGGCGGCGACTTTCGCGTGCTTTCTGATTTAGTTCCTTAAAATGCTCTTTTATATATCATTGTCTCAGAGACGTCACCTTAATTCGCCCCAAGATGATTCCGTCCAGACCGCCGTTCACAGGCGGCAAATATCCCGGTATGTGTCTCGGTTTTGGTCATTGTTCCATGTGGGGTTTGCAGCATAATTTTTGCTCGATTCGTTTATAATGGTTGTAAACCTCGAATCGACGGATATTTTCGATCCAAGAATGGGTCAATAAGGGAGTCTTTACCTTATACATTCCCAAGTATCGCGATCCGATCGTTTAGCAACGCGAAGAAACCTGTGAAAGATCTGTTTCTTACCCGCCGTACACTCTTTCAAACTTAAATCAGATATCCATGCTGACGGTCCTGCAAACTCAGCGGCCTTCGACGGGGATATAGATACCCTCAAGAGTTTGTTGAAAGCACACGGGCGACGCTCCGTTGCCTTTGCCCCACGCGGCCCCTACTCGTGGAATGCCCTCATGGTTGCTTCCTTTGCCGGACAAGTAGATACAGTACGCTTCCTTATTGATGAAGCTGGGTTTTGTGTCGAAGAGCGAGACACTTGCTTGCGGACTCCCATCCACCTGGCCACCAAATCAGGATCCATCTGCGTCGTCCGCCTTCTGCTCGAACGAGGCGCAGATCCTGACCACATGGACGAGGCTCAACGGACAGCTTTGATTTATGCCGCAGCCGCGTATAACGTACCGTTATTGAGCTGTTTACTTGACGGAAACGCAGACCCAGACGTCACAGATCAGTCTCTTCGCTCTTGTTTGCACTACCTCTCTGAAGGGGGGTACAGTCACTGTGGGGGGGGGAGGGGAGGGATGTGCGGGCGGGTCGGCCACGAATTAGCGGTGGAAAAAGGCGTCAAGCGCTTGCTTCTTTACGGTGCACAGGTGGATATAGGGGACCACGCGGGTCACACGCCCCTGCACCTCGCTGCGGCGTCGTCTAAGGTGAACGTAGTCTCACTTTTGCTGGGCCTAGGGGGCGCCAACCCGTCTGTGGAGGACAAGGAGGGCATGACGCCCCTAAGTTTGGCCAAAAACAAGATGGTGGAAGAGATGCTAGAAGCTGCACCTTACCAAGCATATCAGCTGGAGAAAATGCGGTGTCTTGTTGGATTGATGGGGACGGAAAATAAGGAGGACGGGCAATATGGCAAGCTAGGCCGGGTCTTGACGGATGATGCTCATGCAAGAGAAAGCGAAGACCGTGCGACAACCGCGCCGTCCCTTATCTATACCAATGGCAAGCTCGCGCGGCCTGCAAAAGCGGTGGAGCGGGTGCGGCACCTGATCAGCCTGCGCCGACAGACACTAGAGCCCCCGAGGCCAATGCCCCGCGTGCATTTCCACGGTCGAGGCGAAGACGGACCACGGCGCCCAGTGCACCCGATTCCTGACTTACCTGTCTGTGTTTTGCAGCTAGCAGTGCAGCATATGAATGGGGACTTGTTCAAGGAGCTGCTGGGATTCCTCTGGTCATGGAGGCTGCCGGGGTGAGGATCGAGGGCGACGACTTGAAACGCCATGGTCAAGAGAGCGAACGAAAACTCGAGTCGCGCCAAAAGCCAATCAACCTTATGGCAGTGCCGTAAGCAGCATGGTACACAGGTCGGCGAGCGCGACCTAGAGACGGCGTGACGCTGCGGGCTCTGCCGAGCTATATGATGTCGAGTCTCGGACGTTGCCTTGGCGGGAGCCAGGAACATGAACCCACAGCAAAAGAATTGAGCGAGCTTCAGAAGATACACTGCACCGATAGATGGAAACTGAACTCTCAATTTAAATTTCTGCTCGTGAACATGCATACTAGCAGATTGGAAGGAAGGAGTTCTTTCTGCTTCGTACTTCTGACTGTCAGAAATTGCTGTTTGGCTCCTTGATGACCCTTCAAGGCGCATCAACTCAACGTATACACATCGATAGTCATCAATCATGTCAGAAGGATGTCGATATAAAGGCTCCTGTAAATCTCAGCCATTTTCAGAAACAATTTTGATTCGCCTGGCACTACATTTGCAAATTTTTCTGGTCTCATTAAATCTACAAGCCCTTCATGTACTTTAAACCAATTTTTCCTCTCTTTCTCCAGAGATACCCCTACCCTTCTCTTTTTCCGCCCGCAATAAATGTTTTAATCGTCCTTGCTTTTTTTTCAACGCACTCAATTCCAGTTCTTCCGCGCGTATCTCATCCACTAAGCCGTGCAGATGCTCCAAAATCTGATCTAGATACAGTTCGTATTCCGTCACATGAGGAGGAGGAATGGCGCGTGCGAAGTCTGCCAAGCCGGGACGCATAGAGGGGATAACTGGGGAGGGCATCCTTGCAGAGGGTTGGGAGGTTCTCGAGGGGAGTGACGAGTGCGGGGAGAGCAATGACGGGTACGTGCCCCCTGTGTAGGCCTGGTACTCGGCGGTAGAGTCGTGTGAGACATTTCGGACCTTGAGAAGATGCGTTTGGTAGGCGAGGGACGCACTCTCGGAGGAAGAAAAGGGAGCAGCAGGAGAAAGGTAGTGGCAGGCATATGAAATGCCCTGAGCCTCCGAGGAGGATCGCAGGTCCAGGGAGAACACGATTAGCACTGCCGGAAAGGCTAAAGCTGGATCCTTTCCTCGCCTATCTAATGTCGTCCCGCTGCTGGATTTCTTTGCCTCGCTTGGCGTCCTGCTCTCTCCCCGGAGAGCTTCAGCATCATCTTCTCGCGATGTGGACCTCAAGTAGTCACCCAAATGCCTCAGTATGGCCAGGTCTCGCAAGCTTGGCTTGGTGCTTGCCGTATTTCGAGCCACATACCAGCCAACCATCCTCTGCGAGATGGCGCAGATGCGTAAAAGGGAATAAGGGGCTCAAGACGAAGATGCTCCAGATTCGTGACTCTTTCTCATCCTGTCCTCATCCTCTCCTATCACCCTTTTTACCACCTTTATCTGTCATATTACATCTTTTGTCACACATTTGGCCTTCTACTGTATCTCCTTGTCCCCTTCGAACCCCTTTTAACCTCTTTCTTTCTCAATTAACTCTCCAACAGACTTACATGTCGCCTATTAACTTCTGATGTGGCCTCGGCAATTTTTGTCGCGTTCATGGTTCCAGTCAGTGGTTCATAGAACGCGTCCTTTTGATTTGTGGACACATACCCTGTCACGTCTAATTGCAGGTCTGTGCGGTCCCTCGCTTCTTGTGTGTCATCCGTGACGGCCACGGTGTGGACAAGGGCATCCCCGAGCAACAAGCCCTCTGCACGCCGACCTGCCCGCTGCCCCACTACCTGTATGAGCGTAGCCAGAAGAGATCCAGCTATGCGCACTTCGCCCAGGGAAATTGAGCCCATGAAATGCGCCGCAAGTACCTGGCAATGTGGGAGAGCAGATGAGGCACAGGGTAGGAGGTCATGTCGACTGAAGAGCTATTGTAGTATTTGTGGGGGTGCGCCCCCCTCCAGGTTTACTATTTGAGACCTGGCGTGTTCTCCAGGGCCGTAATGAAAGACATAACGGTTTGCGTTGACGACGGGTCGTGCGTTCTGCAGAGTCCGCGTACCGTAAGCCCCGGCACGCACACAGGCGGCTGGGGGCTGGCTTGAGCGCGGAGAGAAGGCGGAGAGGAGTCTTCAGAGAAGAAGTCAACAGGATCGAGGGCACTGGAAAGGCGGGAAGTGCAACGCCCGCAGCCCGCCCATCGAGGCAGTATATCTTTTGAGATACAATTGAGATCCTCATGGAACCCAGTATTTTGTTCGTACCCTTTCAGGTGAAAAACCAAGAGACGGACAAAAACGACATCACACCGCAGCACCATTTCTCATCCTATATAGTACCATGGCGCTGCCCACCCTGGAAACAATTAAGGGCATGAAGGTCGCTGAGCTTAAGAAGGAATTGGAGAAGCTCGATTTGCCTGTGAAGGGGCTGAAAGCAGACTTAATGCAGCGACTCATGCAGCACGTCGAGAAGGCAGCCGCCGCCGAGGAAGGGGGCAGTGACGACGTTGATGGCTTAAACGACAAACCGGAGCCCCAAGACGAGACTTTGAAGCCTTCTGTGAAGGCTATTGTCGAGGAGGAATTGGTAGGCACTGCATCGAAAGGTCCGTCTGGATCCTCGCGCGAGAAGGAGCAGGAAGGGGAGGTAATGGCGGAGGCTGCCCCGTCTGCCGTCCACCCAAGTCCCAGCCCCGCCCCGGCCAACCCCTCGGAGCTCGAGCACAATCCCGATCGAGGAATAGAGAAGGAGAAACCTTCCCATCTGACCTCGCCAGCCGAGGCCTCGGCGGCGCCACAAGCCGCTGAGCCTTCTGAGATCGGGAGCTCCCTGCGGCAGGTTGCGGATGCCCTGCCCTCTTCTCCCTCCTCGGCCACTGTGCCGAGCGAGTCAGCCCAGTCGTCTGACATGGCGGCGGCAGTGACCCAGAAGGGACGCGCTTCACCTGCCCCGATTGATGCTGAGGTGAAGAAAGGCACAGGTCCGAGTGAGACCGCCCTCCTGGCCAGGGAGGAGTCTCTGTCCGGCGCTGATGCCCCTGAGCCCGCCGCCGCCCTTGTGCCAGCCCCAAAGAATCCGAGAAGCGCCACCATCCGCGTGGACGGCTTCATCCGTCCCTTCCGCCTGGTGGCGGCCAAGGAGATGCTGGAGGAGCGGGGAGGGGGCCCTCTTGTTGGAGAGGATGGCATGTGGATGGATGTGATCAAGACGCACTGTTACGCCACCTTCCAGTCGGAGGAGTGCGCGGCGCGAGCACGGATTGCATTGCACAAGTACCAGTGGCCGGAGCGGGGGGGCGTCCTGACCGCCGATTTCTCGCCCAAGACCGCGGCCCAGGTTACGGAGGAGGACAAGCTCCTCAAGAAGGCGCGCGCGGCCTCCAGGCTCCAGGAAGGAGGGGACAAGACAGGCGGGGCGAGGCCGGGGGAGCCTCTGGCGGCCACGCCCCGTACGACTGCCCTCGAGTCTTTACCTTATACATTCCC